CCGCCTCCTGGACGGATGCAGCAAGGGAGTATACAACTCGACCTGAGTCTGGCCGCGCGGAAAGCAAACGACATGGGCAAGATGTGTCTTGTTTGAGTCGGAACCCTTTCTGGGCTTGCTTGAAAAGGAAAATATGGGAAAACACACTTCTCCGTCTTTTTTGTGCTTGGGAGGGGGTATCTGTGTTCTGGTGAGGGACCCCTGGTGGTGCTGTTCAAAAGGTAGTTTCAGTCGGCAACTTGGTTGTGCCCCTCCTTTTTGCAAGGGAAACCTCTCTCCACCAAAAATAGGGTGTCATTTTTCTCACGGGACAACCCAGTAATGGTGGGTTGCCTGTTGGTTTCTCTCCAAAGCCACCAAAACAGGCGTACACTTGCAAAAAGAAAGTCAAAGTGGTGTATATGCAACTAGGGCATTGGTCAAAGTCCCAATTGTTGATGCCTTTAGCCATCCAGGATGTCCAAGTTTAGGAACCGCCAGCAAGCGGTTTGCAGGGGGCATCAGATTCCCATCCAACTGCACTCTTCAATTCGAGTTCATGCAACATGTTCTTTTTAGATGGACACAACACTCAGCCTCTTTGGCTGATGGCACCAATTTGTCACCTGGGGATGGCGCCAACTTGTCACCTGGGGATGGCACCAACTTCAACTTCTTACGTGGGGATGTTGACACGAATCACGGCTCACTCCCTGAACATGGGCCCATCCAGAACTCAGGAACGGAGGGTCTTTTTGGGCAAAGGACCCCCTCTTTTTGTGTTCCTTCTGTGGGGCAAATTGTTTCTGGCACAAACAAGGCTTTTCTAGAGGAAACATCTGTGCACATATGTTACATATATATATATACATATATATGTATACACTAAATGAATGAACAGGGGACCCACGTCTGAGCCGTACTAAAGCAGGCCCAATTTTGTTTTGCCATGATCTTAGGGGGTAGGTTAAAGGAAAACCACCTTGATGACCCCAGTAAGGCTTGAAAAGGTGAGAACAGTGACCTCCCGAGAGCCGCAAAGACCCTTTTCACTAAAACGGCCAACGACATCGGCGGTTCTCGAAGAAAGCCGATTGTTGAAGGCAATGGCGGTTGCACAACCAAACAAGCTAGCGTGAGCAAGCCCTTTGTAAACACCCCGATTAAAGGTTTCCCCAACTACTAAATAAGGGTTGCCAAAAAAAGCACCCAATATTTTTCGAGTCTCCTCAAAAACCGCCCTGGTTACGAGCGCGCCCTTGGCTCTTCTTCCTGGTTCTCGTTGGTGGGAAGGACCCGAATCGAATTGAACCATCCCTGTGTCCTTTCAGATCCCCCGGTGCATTCTCAAAGCCTGAAATGAATACCCGATCCCGAAAAAGTTGCCATGAAAACAGCAATGCTTTTTTATTTCCCTGAGAACCAGCACAGGTGGAAACACATCGATGGCCCCGGTAAATGGGGAATGAACAACATATAAACCAGTGAAACCCATCTATTTCTAACCAAACCCCTGAAGGACACCTATAACCAGCAGATTGATTACAGAGTTGGTGATGCTCTTGGTGGGTGAAACATCCTGTGTCACAGTCAGCACACTATCCCACTTCCTGAGGATGGCTGAAAACAAGTCCAAACTTGACATTTGAAATCAAAATGGCCTTCCCAAAAGTTTAAAGTCCATGACTCAGGAAGTGAGACATGGAGGGAGACATCTGCGCAGCATTGATTCTTTATCCAACCACCAGTCGTCTTCCGACCAATCCAAAACGGTGCCATCTATTTCTAACCAAACTAACCCAAAAGAGATACCTACCAGCAGATTCCTTATCAAAAACAGCAGTTTTCGTTCCGAATTTCTTCAAGCTAACCCAAAAGGGATACCTACCAGCAGATTCCCTATCAAACCTGTCGTCAGCTCTTTCCGAGCGGCCCAAAGGCGTAGATGCCAAGTGCAGCCGCGACGATGCGCTCTCCACACTGCCGGCCTGCCGGCATCTGGAACGGGTCCAATTCCAAGTCGCCAGTGGATCCCAGGCAAGCCCCAAAAGGTAGATAGCCAGCCTTTGGTGCATTTGTTATTTAAGGGTGGCAAGCCCTTGGTTACCTACTTCAATAGAACTTGAACATTCTTACATACTCTGAAGAGCAGCGGAAAAAAGAAGCAAGCGCGCGCACGTGTGTGTGGGTGTGTGTGTCTTGTTTTTGTTCAAACGAATCATGGGGCTTTGTCTGGTTCTTCGCAGCGATACCAGGCAAACTGCTCTCGGGCTCCATGCTGAAGGCTTTTGGGGCTCCTCCGAAGAACGATCCTTTTTAGGCAGGGAGTATCAAACAACGGCACCCACCAAGCGAATTTGGTGGGCCAATAGACAAAAAGCAAAGACACATGTGGGTCAGAGCCGGGGCTGCTCCGAGTAGTCATCCAGCAAGTAATGCTTTTCGTACTGGTTGAGTGTTGCTTTGTCTAAATCATGTTTTTGTTGTGCGAAATGTTGGCTTTCCATTTCCAGTGATTCCATGTCCCTGAGACACGACGTCGAGCTTTTCGAGTTGTTCAGGGCCCAAAGACCCAGGAATCATCGGGGCCATGCATCGAATCCATGCCCATGGAAAACGCCCGCCATGAGGCCATGAGGGGCAGGATGGAAGGGGCTGGCGCAGCGTTCTTTGGTTGATTGAGGTTAGAGGAAAACCCTCTCCACAAGAATCTCACTTGGAGGTGTGATGAGTGCCTCCCTTTCAACTAGACAAACCGGATTAGCGTTGGAATGCAAAGGGTACCCCACGACGAAATGGAACGCAAGCACCGAATGAATACCTTACGCCGGAGGCTTTAGAAAAGCGCTAAGGGGCTAGCAAGGCCATGGACCCCTACTGTTGAGGTGTCGGGGGAACAAGAACAACGAGCTAGGAAAGGGAAACCAAAGTCTAAGAAACCAGCCCCAGGACATTCTCCTGGCACTAATGAATCTTGAGGCCAGGTAACCAGGAAGGTTGCCAAAGGTCCTGTTTTCATGGGTATCTTTCTAACTTCCAATAGACTTTCCTGGATTCCTATGGGGGTTTCTCAAAGGAATCGGACCCCCCTTTTTGGATGGTCTCCAGGGGGTTTCCCAACAGGAAACCAGGAAACCACCTGAAAACAAAAAGTGGGCGGGGGGGGGGGGTCTCAAAGGAATCGCACCTCTTGGATGGTAAAGGGATACCAAAAAGGAAAGCAAGCCACTTGGAGGCGTTGGGTTGGGGAGGGGGGGGGTTTCTCAAAATAGCAATCGACCCCCCGTTTTGGATTGGAGGAATGGGTCCCGAACTTTGAGACACACTACTGTGGATGGACGCAATCCGTTTCGCACCACGCTCAAAGCCATGGGACACAATTGGTCTTTGGTATTTACGTCTGGGAATCGAATCCTTCCAGGGTTTCTGAACGGTGCGAATTGGAATTCGCCACCATCCACAGCTTCGAGTAGGGAAACGATTCGATTCTTTGAGCTTAACCCCAGGGCAACAATTCGATTCTTTGAGTTTAACCCCACTAAACCAACGATTCGCTTTGTTTGGGTGCAAAATGGATTTTGTCCATCCACCGATGCCACACGTCTGGGCCTCAGCCTCGGGGTTCAAAAGCTGGCGCCGCGCCGGCAGGCGCCGCTGCAGCGCCGGCGGGTCCTGAGCCATAGGTGGAAACCCAAGGGGCCAAGCCTCGCCCCAAACGGCGCCTTGGAGGTGAGTCACTTGCTCAAAACCCGGTATTAAACAGGGATCCTTGCATGAAAAACACCTGAGCATTGCCTTGTAAATTGTGGTTTCCCTTTATTTTGGTGGAAAAAGCAACATGTTTCAAATGGGCAACATGTGTCTTTTAAGGAGCCCTGTTAAACTGGTCGTAATCCCAGAACCATGCTTCAAGAATTTAGAAGCCGGATATCCGCAGCGATTTTTCTGGTTGGGATCGTCCCTAACCTTCATCTATAAGAAACCACGTTCGTTTCAAAGGCCGGCTCATGCTGTGGTGAAAAAGCACATTGCACAAGATGGGAGACAAATAGAGCCCTTTGAATACAATTAAACAACTGGTGCAGGATTTTGGTCCATCCACTGCGTCACTCCCCCCCAAAGAGATGTCATTATCTGCAAGTATGCACCCATAGAGTGGGATGGTAATCCCAAATCAATTCCCCGAAAAGCTTGCCAAACTGCCCACGGGTCATGACCAGTAGTCTCTCTCTTGCCATATCCCAGGGTTGCCAGTTCTTATTTCCTCTGTCCTCTCCCCGGGGAAAGATATGGTCTCGTGTGCCGTGAGCCCCCCCACTTCTGAAGAAAACATGTGCACCAGAGTGCGTGTCCCAGTGTTGTGCCACCCTCCAACAAAGGCAAATGCATAGACCCAAAACTGTGGGAAACGACCACTTCTGCGATACAGCAGAAGGGCTTTCCACTACTAACCCCCCATATACAACCCTTGTATCACAGAAGTGGGGAAAACAACCGAGTGATCCCACAACCCTGTATAGACCTATTCTATATATATATATAAACAAATACATAAATAAATAAATAAATGAATGAATGAATAAATAAATAAATAAATAAATAAATAAATAAATAAATAAATAAATAAATACAAAAATATAAAAAGTAAATATAATAAAAAAAAGAACATTGGTTGTATAAGTGTATATAGAGGATATGGTCCATGGGTCAGCAAAGGGGAGCAGCAGGTACATCCCAAAGCGATCGCGATCGAGGCGCCAGCTGCGCTTTTAAGAGCTGGGAGCTCTCTGCAAGGAAGCCGTGCCAGCGCTCAAGCACCTCGCTTCCGCGAGCGAGCCGCGCGGGTGGACGGCTTTTGGAGTGATCACTTGCTCTCACGTGCTCTAGAACTCACTGACCGAATGGATGGCCAAAAACAAGTCCAAACTTTATACTTAGCACTAAAATGGTGTTCCCAAAAAGTTTAATGTTCATGAACTCAGGAAGTGAGGGGAACAAAATGAACAAGTCTGACCTATGGTTGCCACTCTCAAATTTGACAATCCCAAAGACTTTGAAGTGAAACTGTGGAAGTGAACTGGTCTCAACTGCTTGTATGACATGATCGCCACTTTGAAGTCGCTCCTGGGGAAGTGAGCCGCAACCGAAATTCACACCAGGTTCCCAACATATGTTCAGTGCTCCCATTCGACCCGTAGACTCTTGGTCCGATGGAAACCGCCAAAAAAAAACAGTTTTCATCCTGAGGCATCGAGCACGTGCGCGTGTTCGCGTTTGGAAACAGGTTGCTTCCGGTTGTCAAGGCGCAGACTGGGCTGCTCCTCCCGTCCAATGGGCTCCTTTTGGCAAATGGATGTGGAGACTCTCGTTCCACGGTGTTTGAAAGATTGCTGAGAGCAAAACAGCAAAGCAGCGGCAGAAAAACGAGTGATGCTGATCGGATGTATGGCAAGGTTCGCGAAGCCTCCTGCTGTGTGAAGGCTTTTCAACAAGCGCGCGTCTGCCGATTTTGCAGTCAGCGTGAGTTGCCGAAAGATGCGTGAATGGTTGCTTCCGCAAACCATTTGGTTTGCTCGTGAGAAAGACACAACTTGGACCACCGCTGTCTTCCACGTTGTTCACTGGCCAGCTAAAAGTCCGACTTGTGCAGGAGTCCCAAATGCTCCAGTCCATTGGTTTTTGGCGCTCAACCAGGGGGGGTCCGCTGCTTGAAGACGTGCCCAGCCATTGGGGCAAAACAACTCGGACAGCTGGGTCAGGAAAAAAGCGAGTCAGCTGTAAACAAAAAACCTAGCTCGAAAGTCGGCCACAACAACGTCGCATACCAAGCCTTACTTCCGATTCGCTTTGGCGGATGCCCTAGGCTATCCATGGGTGCGTGATGTGTGAAACTTGAAGCCACTCACAGGCCATGGTGGAAACTTTGCCTTTCTACTAGTACCTCATGTGACTCATGCGACTATCACTTTCAAGGGGACCAACATCTGCAAGGGCACAAGCATAGGTGTCCTTCTAGGGCAAATAGATGGGGTTCCCTGGTAGATGAGAGAAAACCACCAGGTAAACCAGGAATCGAACCCTATCAATTCTTCTACCGAAACAATCAAAAAGGACATCTATGGTTGTATAATATAGCCCTCACCATTTAACTCGGATAGCACCGCCAGAATGGATGTCAAATCATAACCCCGGTGATGCCAAAGTATTCTGCAATGGTTGCTACTCCAAAGCTGAATGAAGGGATCCCCAAGCAAAGGCTGGTGAGCTCGTTATACCCCGAATCCGTGAGCTTGCGATAAAAACAAGGCAAAAAGGATGTCTTTTCATTCGATCAATCCCAAGGCAAGAACTTGGTCCACCAAAATCTGCAGGTGGCAAGTGGGGCAATGGATGAGTCTTCTCATCTCATCAGGCTGTGGGTCAAAAATAGGTACCCAAAATGGAAGCCTGGAAAGTGGCAACATGGACCAAAACCTGCGGTCCCCTGGTTTAATTTTGACCCACACCCATCAAACCCCCAATAAACAAATGCATCACAACAAAGCCCCCCCCCCCCGTGCCCAGATCTGGCCCCGTTTTCGCCCGCCAGGTCGTTCTTGTTTCCCCGCCTGGTCTGCCGTGGAGGCGCCAAGAACTCGGTCCTGCAGCGTTCGCGGGAAGAAAAAACGCGTGATTTGTTCTTTGAGGGTACCCTCCTGTGGGGTGGGTTCAAAAGGGAAACCAAAACGAAAGCCACCATCTTTTCTCTTTCTGTGTGTGTGTGTGTTTTTTGTTGGAGGGGCGCGTCCCCCAAAGAAAGATGCACCCATACTGTGGATGGACAGAATCCTGCACCAGTTGGCAGGTGGTTTATGCCATCATATACAGGTGTTCATCCATATCAACTGGTCCAGGATTTCGTCCATCCGCAGCGGGTGTTGTGTTTTTCTTTCTTTCTCTCTCTCTTTTTTTTGGGGGGGAGGCCTTTTTGAGGTGGTCTTAGGACAAGCACCTGTAAGCACCACTGAACCAGGGCAGCTTGTTTACTTGCAAGAAACCTGGGCTGTCCGAAGCTGCGGGGGTTTCTGGTCGCGAAAACCGCGGCTCAAAAGTGATCAGGGAGACATGCCGCTTTTCTTGTGGGCGCCTTGAACTTTGAACCTCAATCCAAAACGCAATCTTCAAACTTGCGATGCTGCAAGCATTTCACGCCTCAAACATATAAACACCTCAACCTATTGGTGCTCATCTCAAAACACCGGACCCCATCCAGGTGCTTTTGTTTTGTTTTCCCCTTCCCGCCAAATCATCCAGGGAAGGGCTCCTAGGTCCAGTAGACAGGTTAGAATAAGGGTACCAACTTTTTTCTGTAGTCTATTCTAGTGGAACCCTCCCACCCAACAAAGAAACGGGTGAGAAAGGGACACCAATTGCTGGGGGACCTAGGCTCTCCAACCCAATTTTGGGCGGGCTCCATACCTTCAGCTTGGGCCGCTGGACCCACGCCTCCGGCTCCGGAGGCAGCACGTCCGCGGCAGCCATGGCGTGCGAGCTTCAGAACTCAAGGCGGCTTTGGGTACCCAGTGATTCAAAGTCCCTCACAGGATGGTTTTGGGTGTCCCTATGTCATTTCCAGTTTTCAGTTTGGGTGTCCCTGTTTGTTTCCCCTCGCAGAGGGGGGACACCACCCAAACTGAAAAACTGAGGAACAAAAATAACTGCAAGGAGAAATGGCGCCAAAAAACGGACAACACCACCAGGAATCGAGTTCATAGGTCGTGGCTGTTGGCAACCAATGACACGAGATGCCACATCTTTCAGGGCAGATGGCTTTCCTGTTTCCAAAGCGATTAGATAATATGAGCTTGCAACTTCGCAGCTTGTGCATCCCGCCATCTTGCCACGCTGCTGGGTGTCTTCCCGCTTTGTGTCCTTTGTTTAGCTTGGAGGAAGCGACGGGCAACAAGATCAGCTCCTCTCTAATGTGAAACTATGATTCACAAGCTGCTCCCTTGACATCCCAGAGGTAACCAATTGCAAGCAGCCATGCTTACCAGCGACGCTGCTTCTGTTCATCGGGCTCCTACCTTCTTTGGGAGCTAAAAGTCGAGACCGGCGGGATCGGAGTCAAGCGGACCGCGGAGAAAGTGGCTCGATAGTTTCACAACAACAACTGCTGAAGAAACCAGGAAGCAAAGAATTCTGAACCTCCACAATTCAAACGCCCGCCTTTTGCAAGCGTGCGCCAGATTTGAACACTTGCCTTGGATACATGTAAAACCCTGATTGATACCCGCTCCCCCGATGAATCAAGCATAAGCTGTGGTCCATCTGGAAGATGCCTAGTGAAAAGGACCCCCCCCAAGCTAGTGGGTTTATTCATCAGGCAGCCCTCGCTGTGCTACCAAGGTGGCATGTCCAGGCCCATGACAGCTTCATCACTTGAAAGAGCATTAGTTTTGCCTAAAGGGCCTAAAGCAACTCATTTCGAACATCTCACATGCGGCCATGGAGCACAGCGGCCGTGCTTTTTTTGGGACCTTCCACAAATGACAAGCGCGATCGGATTATCAGAGTGGCTCTGTGAAGATTTGATGGAATCTCCATGTCACATGGAGTGGACTCCATGTGGGTCAGTCCTTTTTTGAGGGTGCCAGTAGCCCTTGTTGGTTGGCTTCAAAGGGAAACCAAGCGGAAACACCCCTTCTGTTTTCTTGGGGGGGTGGGACCCAATCAAGACACAGACACACCCACGTTCCCAAAGGTCCAAAGAGCTTTTTGCGGATCCACCAAGACCAACCATGCGATCAGGGGTCAACATGGCGGTGTGTCTTTGAGGCGCCCTTGCAAGATTTCTTAAGAAACTTTCCAGGGAAACCGCCCACAAATTTTGACGCCTCCCCATCTGGGCGCGGTGCGGTCCTAACCGTCAAAGCGAAGCGATCGTTTTGCTGCATGGACTTGGAGCAAACCGAGTCCCACCGCGGCTCAAAGGGAAACGCAGTGGCTTTCTTTAGCACATGGCTCTGGCTCAAAACTAGACCACGGTTGGCCCGAAAGCAGAACATCGCAAGCGAGGTCGGCCCAACGCTGCAGGATGCGTTCTTTTTCCCTACACTTCGTGAAGCAAGCGCGAGACAGCACCAGGCAAGGTGCTCTGCGCAAACTGGTCGGTGCAAGTTGGTCTGCGCAAGTTGCTCTACGCAAGTTGCACTGTGCAAGTTGCTCTGCGCAAGTTGCTCCGCGCAAGTTGCTCCGGCAAGTTGGTCCCTGCAAGTGGCTCCCTGCAAGTTGCTCTGTGCAAATTGCGCTCCCTGCAAGTTGCTCTGTGCAAGCTGCTCTGTGCAAGTTGCTCTGTGCAAGTTGCTCTGCGTAAGTTGCTCTGCGCAAGTTGCTCTAGGCAAGGCGCTCTGCGCAAACTGGTCGGTGCAAGTTGGTCTGCGCAAGTTGCTCTGTGCAACTTGCTCTGCGCAAGTTGCTCTGCGCAAGTTGCTGTAAAATGCAAGTTGCATCTTGCGACGCCCGCCCGCGGACCAGGGAGGAATCGAACCCGCGACCCGCCGGTTCCGGGAGCAGGCGCGCGAACAAGTCGCAAAAAACCTTGAGTTTTTGCACCTCGACCACGCCGATTCCCGCAGAGGGTTGCGCGAGCACCGCAGAAATCGCAAAAAACCATGGGTTTTTGCACCTCGACCACGCCGATCCCCGCAGAGGGTCGCGCGAGCAGGTTAGAAATCGCAAAAAACCATGGGTTTTTGCACCTCGACCACGCCGATCCCCGCAGAGGGTCGCGCGAGCAGGTTAGAAATCGCAAAAAACCATGGGTTTTTGCACCTCGACCACGCCGATCCCCGCAGAGGGTCGCGCGAGCAGGTTAGAAATCGCAAAAAACCATGGGTTTTTGCACCTCGACCACGCCGATCCCCGCAGAGGGTCGCGCGAGCAGGTTAGAAATCGCAAAAAACCATGGGTTTTTGCACCTCGACCACGCCGATCCCCGCAGAGGGTCGATTTTCGTGTAGTGTCGTCGGCACTACCCCGCCGCCCTAAGAAGAGATTTTAACTCCTCGCAAGTCAATTGCACTTGACTCCTTGCACTTGCAACTTGCACTTGACTCCTTGCTTGTTTCAAGGAGTCATTGCAAGAGTCATTGCAAGGAGTCATTGCAAGGAGTCATTGCAAGGAGTCATGCAAGGAGTCATTGCAAGGAGTCATTGCAAGGAGTCATTGCAAGGAGTCATTGCAAGGAGTCATTGCAAGGAGTCATGAGAGCCATTGCAAGTTGCAAGGAGCCAAGTGCATGGAGTCAAGTGCAAGTCGCAAGTGCACGGAGTTAAGTGCAAGTTGCAAGTGCAAGGAGCCAAGTGCAAGGAGCCAAGTGCAAGGAGCCAAGTGCAAGGAGCCAAGTGCAAGGAGCCAAGTGCATGTGCATGGAGTCAAGTGCAAGTTGCAAGTGCATGAGTCAAGTGCAAGTTGCAAGTGCAAAGTCAAGTGCAAGTGCAAGTGCAAGTGCAAGTGCAAGTTGCATGACTCCTTGCAATGACTCCTTGCAATGACTCCTTGCAATGACTCCTTGCAATGACTCCTTGCAATGACTCCTTGCAATGACTCCTTGCAATGACTCCTTGCATTGACTTTCATGATGATGATTCCTTGCAATGACACCTTGTAATGACTCTCATGAGAACAATTCAAGTGAACCCAGCGGAAGAACCCTTCGCCATGCTTTCGGGAAAACCGGTACCAAAATGGAACCCTGGCAAGAGGAAATATGGACCAAAACCTGCGTAACCCCCCGTGTTTAATTTTGAGCCACACCCACATCCTTCCTCACCTTGGGGACACCCAAAGGAACTCCACCCCCCACAAAGGTTTCTGCTACGTTTGGGGGGACTTCCAGGACGCCTCCCCATTCCCCCAGCAGGACTTCTGGAAGGGCGGCACTCTGCTCCTCCACCGCCGGCTGCAAGAGCCACAAACCGCAGGCAGCAGTGCTGCAAAGGAAGGCCTCGTACACTTGGCAAGAGAAACGCGCAGAGGAAACCACAGCTAGGTCCTCCAGTAGAAAGGTTAGAATCAGGGTACCCTTTTCCTGTAGTCTATTCTAGTAGGGGAACCCTCCCCCAAAAAAGAAACGGTAAAAGGGCACTACCAGGGCACCTAGACAGTGTGAAATGAAAGCCATATCCACTGGTTGTTGTGTTTTTCTTGCTGGCTCCAGCCTGAGTGGTTCCGGGCTGTTCCTCGTTCTCCTCGGGTTTTTTGCGGGCTTTTCCTGGCTTCCTCCGGGTTCCGCCGCGAATCTCGCCGCTTTTCCGAGCCGAAGCCTTCTCCGGGTCGAAAGGAAGCCCAGGGGCTCCGCTCCCCCCAAGGGGGAACGGGACATGGAACTAGGCAGCCACCAAGCCACCAGGAACCCCCCCGGCGACTTCTGAAAGCTATGTGTTCTTGGGGTGAAACCATGAAGTAGCGGACATCATCTCTGCAACAAATCGATTTGGGTGCGGGTCCAAAAAAACCAGGGTGACCCGAAAATGAGCTGCCCTGGCAAATGGAAACAAGGACCAAGACCCGCGGTCTGGTGGTTTAATTTTGACCCATACTCTGGATGGACGAAATCCCGCACCACTTTGAAACCATAAGAAGCAATTGGTCTTCGGTATTTACAGGGGAATCGAATCCTTCCGGTTTCTGAATGGTGGTGCGAAATGGATTTTGTCCATCCACACTGTGCCACACCTGGGTAGGTGAATTCACCACCCATTTTAGCCTATTTTACTGGGGATTGGGATGTTCACTGGACGATTTGGCTTTTGACCCATGGTATCATATACCAAGTCTTAGTTGTTCAGTGACCCTGGAAAGAAAGGGAACCCTTTTTGGGGAAGACCCATTGCTAGTGGGGCAGCCACCCAAAAAAATGGAAAAATAATCGACTGACGACCAACTGAGAAGCTCCGATTGCTCTGAGCTGAGGCAAGGGCCGCCAAGGAGATCTTCTTCAAGCGCTCTCGCACCTCGTTTGCTCAAGCTCACGCCTCGTCTGAGCTTTGCAACTCGCTGCTTAGCTCGAGCAAACGGTTTGGATTCCATGCGCGTTTTGTGGATTTCACGCATTTGTTCTGTGGATTTCACCAGTTCTTCCCCCGGTTGGGTTTTTTTGGTTCAATTCTCGTTTAGTATCCAGCCACATTTAAATCGCTTTCCAGAGTAAATATTTGGGTGCGTCTTTGTTCGGGGTACCCGGCCTTTTTGGGGGCGTTCAAGGGAAACCAAAAGGAACAACACCATTTTATTGTTTTTTGTGTTTGGGGGGAGGGCAGGGAAACCAAAAGGAGCAACACCACATTCTTATACATATATATGTATATATATATTCATATATATATATATATGCATATATATATATGCACATATTATACATACAAACATATATACATATATACAATATATATATACATCATACTTGGGGAGGGGGGTTCCAGCCTTAAAAAAGACGAGCCATTTTGCCAACAGCCGGGGGCCCGTGCCAAGCCCGCCA